GGTGTAGAGTGCCAGGATTGCATTATGGTGGAGCTGTTACAGATCTGGACCCATGAGTGGAAAGACTATTGTCAGTTCACATTCCTAAAAATATTCCTTAAAGTATATATAAAAAACAATGTACATATATAGAAATGAAATATTTGCATTAATTAATTTCAGCTGGAACTAAATACCCAACAACCAGATTTGTAACTTGTAGACAATTAAAGGCTGAGAACATGGGAATCTATCCCAAGAAGTGTGGCCCACAATCAATCCCCATAACGCCAGTAGGAAGCTTCCCAGATTTGACTATTTGACATCCCCAGTTTTAGGTGCCTTGTCTTGATTTCTAAGCCCAGTACAAAAAGAGTTTTGTTGAGTGTTTCCTCATTGTCTTCCCCTTTAAAAGATTTTGAGGACTTTGAATAGTTTTGCCCTGACCTATCATATTCCAAAACTGTAATTTGTCCAGCCTATAAATCAGACAAACAAACGAGAAGAAGGGAAAGAAAGACCCCAGTGTCTGCCTGCAATGGGGGAGATTCCAGTTGTGCTATATATAGACTAAAAAGGCACTAAGACAGAACAATATTCTTCAGCAATTGTTGGAATATATATAGCCGAATTTGTAGTACAATGGCTCTTTTTCACATTAATAATAAAAACATTCAGTGCTGCTGCAGACTCCCTCTTTAACAATTCCATCAACAATGACCTCCCATTCCCCATTCTGATGACATGTGCTTCATGGTAAATCTCCCTTCGCTTGTGGTCAGGATACAGACGGGATGAAGTTCCTTTAAGCCCGTTCCCATCCATTGTTTAGGGCATGTAGACATCAAGCCCAAAGCACGAAAGAACAAAGTCATTTTTAGATACATTCACAATGATGTTTACAATGAAAAGCCCCCCAAAAAAGTGGCTTCACATGCGAACTACTAGATAGAATTTCAATAACGGTAATACTCATAATTGTGAAGTAGTCCAGTTAGAAAAAAGTCAAAACCATTAGTAAAAGAACAAAATGCCTGCTGGATGGCAGTAGGAAATAACAGAGGGCGAGTTACATTACGTGTGGTTTCATGGAGCGAGTTGTGTGTGGCAGCAAAGGATTTTTATCTAACCATTCTGTGGTTCTGTGGACACAATTTTTCCATATGCCCTATCCCAGACATTTGACTAACAGCTGCAATGGGGCCCTACTAGATGTGTATATTATTGAGCTCAGCAGGCAATGTTAATAATGGATACTGAAGCCATTGCTTCAAATTAATACCCCATAAAAGGCATACTGCATTTGAATGGGGATCTTTTTATTGTTCCAATAAATGGCTAAAATTCAAATTTCTCTTATAACCATCTGCTGTTTTTGGTCATGCAATGTTCAACACATGAGCTTATATCCACTAATAATACTCCGTTTTACCTTTTATAATAATGAAGAGAATCTGTGAAACTCACTGTGCCTCTGTATTGGAACAAAGAGTCACGCTGTTAAAAAGTCTGAATAAAAGTAGTGGAAATTGCTAATAATGGGTCTACATCCATGTCTATCTGATATAACCACAGGTCCTCAAAACATCGCTACTGTTTGGGAATGTATTTAAAAAATAGAAATCATGGGAGTGCAGGAATGTGTTGCAAGCCAACTATTATTTAATGTCACAGCACAGCCAAAGACAATAAAAGCCAACAATTTTAATAGTGCTTTCTTTTAGCCATATCATATAAATGTCACAGCTTCCTAACTCATGGACAGGTAGGCGTAAGAAAGTTTGTAAAAAACAAGTGCCAGAACACCTGAGGTTTGCAACTTACAATTGCTATAAGACATGATGGGCCCACACCAGACGAACACAGAGGTGTTGGACTCTTGTGAAATAATACACTCTATAAGAACCTACTTGATCATAGTATATTGTTTTGGCCTTGACTAACATTTACTGCAACTGAATAAACACTTTGCCAGTGTTCACTACTTTGGAAGTATGGTCAAAATTCCAGCCGCCAGTAAACTGACATATCCCACAGTCTGGAAGTTTACCAATGTGGATCATCGATAATATGCCAGAGTATGGATCTGAAATCACATGGCAACATTGATTCAGCTGAAAGCAATCTATAGGGTATCAAATATTTACTGTGAGTGTCCCTTATACTGGTGATGGTATTCTAAAGTTTCAGTACCCGACTGATCCTAACAAAATATAAATACAGGAAATAGGTATTTTTAGCATAGCAAACCATCATTGTACTTTTATTGTTTTTCATGAGATACTAAACAAAAAGCACATACAGTAGGTTTGTCTACTGCTACCTGAAAAGAGATCATAATTTCAGATGGCGCTTTTCAGAGAGGAGCACCGATTTTCTTACCACAAGTCTACAATCTAAAGAAGACATTACATTAGACCACAGTCTGGCAAAACACTTTGGAGACTATCTGGATTTGTCCTCAGTCACTGTCAGTTTACTGTTTCCTGCTCTGGAAAAAGTATTTTGTATCCCCTCTTCAAAAATGTTCTAATGTTTCTACAGGTTTTAAAAAACAAGAAATTAAAAAATGCTGAAAAAATATCAAGAGCGCTCTTAAACTAACTGTAACAATTCCTGAGAGAAGGCTAGGCCGAAACAGAACAACACACATGGAAAATCTGTGAGGCCCAACGCCTTAAGTCAGCAAATAGGTGTGGTTTCACTGCTTGCTTGGAGATGGGATTATTTTACCTTTTTCAGTACTGTGAAAACATACTGCGGTAAAAAGATTGCAAAGCATCTCGAAGGCAGTGACCAAAATCATTAGCACAGCTCATGCATTTAATTTTTTTGTTTCATCTCATTTCTTTGAGCATGGGATAGTTTAATATGACAAAGCTGTTGTGTTTGTAAAGCATGCTTTAAGAGTCTGTAGAGGGGTCAACAGACTCATATGTACAGTACATGTGGGGCCAAATGCCCTTGAATGAAGACTAGCAAATGTGTTTCTTCTCACCAAAGAATGACATCACCTAGAGCAACGCACCTTGATGAGTAACCACAATATGTGCTTCCTCTTCATCTGTCAGAAACCCAACACGCAGGTAAATTCCAGCACGGAAGCACAGAGGGAAACGGACTTTTGTTTTGATCTTCCAGACTCCATTTCAGTCACTTCAGGCAAAGCTACACACAGAGCCAGCCAACTGGGAAAAACGAATTCTCTGTGGTGACACTGAACATGACGCATTTTAATTGCATTTTCACCACGTCGCCCTCTTTGCCCAAAAGTAAAAACGGCAGGTGGTCAAATTTAAAGAGAAGTTTAAAAGCTCATGGTTCTGGAACAAGTGAAGTATAAATGCCCGTTGAGTAATTAAAAAAAGGTGTCGATGTTCTCAGTCGCCTGTTTGCATCATTTCAATGGATGCAAAGCAGGACAGAATTGGGCACTGATTTCCTTGTGCACTATATTCACTGATCCACCGCTGTATTCCCAAAGCACAGAATTGTATTATATTTAAAAACAGGTTAAAATAATTACAGTTCAAGAGCATCCACACAGGGTTTTATAGCTACCAACACAATCAAAAGTTTATTGGAAAAATGGAAGAAATACTGCTGGATCAGGCAGCCTGCTAAGGAATTTGGCTGACCAGGCATGTCAAAAATGACAACACAGAACACATGGATTAAAAAACCAAGGCCAGCCTGGGTTCCCACGAAACCCATACTGCGGTTTCTGAGAGACTGTACACAATAAGATAAAGGATAAGGGCAATCCTAACGCATTGTTGCAAAGTCTTAGATCATTCTTGGAACGCCAAAAGCCTATTTAAATTCTACCAGGAAGAAACAAACCTTTTGTGTGTTTCCACCCTTTTAGCCTTTAACATGTAGCATGAGGTTTTACCCTCGTGTCCACCTTCAAAAGCACATCACATCTGCAAACACTGAAAGAGAACAGAATGTAAACAAACCTTTTGGCATCAATATTCTTTTATGTTCCCAGTTACACTGAAAATTGGATGTCTTTTATAAGCTGTAATTCCAGTTACTTTCTTTGTCTGGCTTTTAATGTCAACACCCAAGTCCACCTTTCAAATAGAATGTGTTGCCTTGTTTTATTTAAGTAGCAGAGACATATGTTTTGCTTTACAAGCATACTACATTGACTAACTTTCAAAAATGTCTCGAAGGTGGCTGGACTACTGATGCGAGCTAGTTAACATAAAACTTCCCCTGGAATGAGAGAAGAAAAGAACTAGAAACATCCCTAATACATTTCTCATCTGTGTGTTGTCAAAATCCCCAAACTATCCTACGCTCACAGCCATAAAAAAAAGCTTTTAAGATACCCTGGAAAATAACAATACAAGCAGAAAACAATCAAAATACCAGAAACAAACCTGGTTACTGGTGACTGATAGCATTGCCAGCATTATCTTTGTTCTGTTTAGCATCCTCTTTAATTATGTTATGTAAACAACACTACCAGCATTGCAATTATGAGTGCAAACAACAATTACAGTATGAAAATCATTTTTCAGTATATGTAAACTTTACTGAAATTAGGCATGGCATAAAGGAGCATATCAGAAATAGCAGAATTGACGACTGTCCTTCATCCTCAATACTTTTCCCATTATATAAGCAGGGTGGAAGGAATGGTGGTTAGCATTGCAGATGTGCAGCCTTAGAGCACTGGGGTCCTGGGTTCAATTCCTGGGGTGCCATCTGCATGGAGTTTATATCTTCGCCATGTGTTCGCATGGATTTTCTATGGGTGCTCAGTTTCCTCCCATGGCTCAATGATGTATTGGTAGGTTAATTGGCTTCTGGGAAAACTGGTCCTGGTGTGAGAATGTGCATTTGTGTCTGTATCTGTGGGTTCCCTGCAATGGACTGGCGTCCCATGTATGGTGTATCCCACTTTGCCCTTGATGCAGATTCTGTCTCTCCTGCGACCTGAATCGGGAAAAGCTTAGAAATGAATAACCACTTAATCTCAAAGCTGCTGTGATGCTCTTGTCTTCCAGAGTTTCAATGCTCTTACTCATTCTAAGATGAAGTTATGGAAGTGTGCAGCCATCGCCTTGATGCTCTGTGGTGCAGCACTGTCAGTCTTCCTCTGTAGAAACATGATTCCTGGAGGAGAGGGGCCTGGGGCCTGGCCTTCATCTTCATCCTCCACAATCTCCTCCTCGTGGCTCAAAGGACATCACAGGGCAGTCCGAGCTGCAGACAAGCCTTCTCTCTTCAGAGAATGTAAGCAACCCACCTTCTTCCTCCTAAAATAGATGGTTTGGGCAGCCTTTAGGCTATGGACTAAGTGATAAAGGCAGGAAGAGTGCAGGAAATAAAAGCTATAGAAGCTATAGTTCTTCGTATATTTTAGATTGCACTGCAAATAATTATTTTTTTAAGTCTTAAAATCAGAATCCTCAAACACAGTTACATGCATTCCCTCTCATATATTAATTTCATACATGAATTAAAAACAGCTTGAAGTTCACAGGCTGAATTCTGTTTCAGCTTATTTTGAATTAAATGGAAATTTTGTACAAGGAGAGCTTATTACACATTAAATCGTCGCAGGATGGAAGCACTTCTTCAAATAGAAAGAGCTTTATTTAATGATCAGACACCCAGAGAATATATTTGTTTGTCTGAGGAAAAGGGGTCAGATATCCCCTTGTTCAGGGTATAAAAAACTGCCCATGCTTTCAAGGAAGGAAAAACTACATGTCTGAAAGATTATTGTTTTTGGACACCTACTTTTTCAAATGCAGAATACAAATACATTTTTCTGCAGACAGGATTCAATCTGGACATCTGTTTTATGCAGGAAAAACAAAAATCCACCCAAACGCACAAACCTCATGAGGTATTCTCAAGTATAAGCATAATCAAGCTCAGCTGTAATTAATCACCTAACACTGTTCTGTTTCTGAAGTAGCCAGTGCAGCAGTGGCCTTGCCACCTTTTGGCTCCAGAAGCTGAAAGGAAATCAGTGTTTGGTTTTTTGTCAAAGAGTCGTTTTCCTTATATACTGCTTAGGATAAAAGCCTACAAGTACATAAACATTTGCCAAATGACTTATGTTCGTGACATTCCACAGCTCCTGAAACGCCAACAACTTTACAGGTGACACTCCACAGCCAGTTGAAAAGTTACAGACCAGGAGAAAAATGAAATACTTCACATTTCTGAACTTGTCTGAAGCTACACTCAATTTCAAGTTCAACAGTGCCGGCTCCATGGATACAAATTCCATGCAACTGGTCGTTACGGCAATAAAGTATTGAACCGACATGCAGAAACACAAATTTCATAGAAATGCTTTTCACTCCATGAATAAATCCTGTATCACCTCACTACATCCATCTTCCAGAATCTTCAGTATGTCAAACCGCAGATTCAAAGCGGACAGATAGGAAGTTTCCCTGAGTTCATGTTTGAGCTTCATCACCCGTTTAACATGTTTTACACGTTTCAATCCACGTGGACCTCAGTATAAAATGAAAGACGTCAATAAAACTTCTACATAAAGTTCACTTACTTTCACTTACAAATCAACATGTACAAGACAAGCCACAGCTGGAATAAGATACTGCCTTAAACACACTTTTGCTTTCCTCCATGCACGTAAGTGACACAGACATCTGTATGCTGAGAAGGTCAAGAACAAACAAGTTTCTCCCACTACCAAAGGAACATAAACGTTCAGAACACTAAGTAGGAGCTTGAGTCGAAGCAGCCTGTGCTGCAAAGTTTAAAGACCTCAGTTACAGGAGTTTGTACCCAACACAGGCCACAGAGGAAACAAGTCCTGCGATTAGCTCAAAGAAGATACAGAACATTAAGAATGGTTACAAACAAGAGGAGACATTCCTTAAATGTATGTCCAATTTTGTTTCCACGAATGATTTTGGAAAAAAATCATAGACCCAAAACATAGTGTGGCTCATCTGAGTGGGCTACAAGAAACAGGCACGCAGTCTGAGCCACCTTTACCTACTCATGTGAGGAGCAACAAGGATTGGGTATCTGAAGCACAGTGGTGAGCAAAGTGTGAAGGAAGCCAGTTCACTGCTGTGTATATTCAAACACCTCCACCGGTGTCTCCTGAGAGGAAAGAGCACCATTACTTTCAAGGAAAAGAAACTCTTAGAGCAACAGACACTATGAGATTTCCTGAAGAAGGTTCAGGGGTCAAGCAAAAGTTGCAGCTTAATGAATTTCCCCACTTGGGAAGATGGAATCCTTAGCCATGTGATTTGGGGACACTTGTGCCTCACAGGAGCCAGGCCATTTAGTTCACATCCAAGCGTACCTTCAGCCTTAGTCACCAGACACAATTAACAGTGTTTAGATGCTGTGTGTAAACACATAGGCGCATTTGCAACTTAATCATTTCAGTAACAGGTAGTTCCTAGAAGCAATGTTTATTTACTGAGGCCTGTTTAATGTAGCATCTGGACTGTTAATCGAGCTGAATGTAACAAATTAGCCAGCTGAATGTAACAAATTGATTTGAAAGACTGAGCATTTAGGGAATTATTTAATCCATTAGGAAACTCCAAAGCAAAACGACTTTTTAAAATGTGTTGGTACCACAATGAGGTACTTTTACATCTATAGAGTTATTTTAAACAGAAAGAGCCAATGTCAAGATGCAAATGAATTGAATCTTTTAATAGCAAAGTCTACGTCTGAACGGCTCAGTTTCAAAGCCAATGCAGAAATGCATAACTGTGAGCTGTAGTGCTTTAACTACGTTGGGGAGTTTCCTGCGCATGTCCTTCCTGATGGTGGCACAGATCATTGGTGCCAAGACAAACCAAAAAGAAAAACAGCAGTTTTCCTGGGGTAAATGCCGCAAACATGTCATTTATTAGTTCTTCAGCCATTCCATATTTTATGGTTAACTTTATGAAGATTGAAATAACAAACAGCACATGGCTAATAATATGTTGTTGTGAAATCTGTCAGCACCACTTTGCATCTCTTTTTACAGAGGTTTAGGCCCCGCTGATATGAAATTAAATCTAATCTTTGAAAATGGACTTGCATCTCACTTTTTCTTCCTCTTAATTCCTTCTGACAGTCTAGGAAGATAGGCGGATATAGGATTTAAAGTTAATAGTGATAGTAAAATCCTGTGTTGGAAACTTGGAGATGACCTGTTACAAAATACATGAATTATAGATAAATATATATTAAATAATTTGATTATGGACTCATGGTATTACCTAGAAATATTATGGATAATGGAAGGATTAGGCTTGTGAACTGTCTTGCTCATATTCTCTCACTCATGCCCCTAATGTCCTAAACAGCTTATAAAAAACTATCAAGATTTTAAGCAGTTGCTAACTATATAGTGCCAGTGCCCCAAAGTAACCCATCAAACACAAACACCATGTTGCATACCTTAATGTTTCATGAAACATTGTACTAAGTCTGCGTGTGCAGATATTACTGAATATCAGGTCATTTTTTAATATTTCTTCATACTTTTCACTGCAGCAAATCATTTTTTCAGCTTTTGAAGCAAGCAAAAAAGTGCAAATGAATTCATTGCTACCATAATGATTGTTCTTATTAGGAAATCATATTAGGAAATCAAGCCAAACAATGTTACTGCCGATGTTTTTTCCTTTCAGTTATGGTGCCAATATTTTGCCTGCTCATAAACACATTTTTCCTGGCAAGAAGAATAAACTCTCCGGACTGACCAAATCAATTATGTTTTGATGAGTGATGGGAGGTAAATGGACGATATTAGGCCTGGGTTTGCCAAAATAAATTTCTGTAATTTTTACAAATGTTTATTTTATGTTTGGCAGCGAAACAAATGTTTATGTTTCAGTGCCACAACAAGTCCCTGGCACTCTCACGGTAGGTTAACTGAGCCCAGCAAAAGCCACAAATGCTGAATGATTACAGATAGTAATAGTTTTACACAGTATGTGGCTCACATGGTATTCACCCAAATTAAGGCCTGAATTTGGCAAAAACATGTACTTTCCCAAAAGTAACATGCTTATGTAAAAATTAAAGTGAATATGGAGAGTCTATTTCGCTTGTAGGATGAGCCACAGTGTGAACGCTGCAGGTCCAGACCTCAGAGATTCCAGCTCCAACCGGAGGTCCAATAAGCAGCATAGAATTGGGTACAATTTCACAATAGTCACAATAGTGCAATGATGTTAGTGAGCCAAGCAGCAACGGAAATCAGGTCAATTCTGAAGACATTCAGAGGTCTCAAGAATGACCTAGCTCATGTGCGAGCAGGGTGACGTTGTTGATTGTATTGGACATCAGGGAAAAAGGGGCTTTAAAAATGGCTGCTCGCAAAACGGTATGCCTTTCTGAAACCCCCTTTTCATTTCCCCAGTTTCGTATCTGTTGCAAAGCTACACAGAAGGGGAGGTAAAGCAGCTGATCAGCGCCCTGGTGGACAGATCGGGGCCGGAGGACTCGCGCCTGGACCTCAGCCTCAGCAAGAGGACTAAGAGAGCCAGGAAGGGGCTGCTGAAGCCGTGCTCCCTGAAGGAGCTGGAGGTGAGCGTGAGCCAGCTGGGGCTCGGGTACGAGGGGGACGAGATCCTGCTGTTCAGGTACTGCAGCGGGAGGTGCCAGGAGGCCCGGCGCAACTACGACCTGACGCTGGAGCACATGAAGAAGCAGGGCCGAGTGAAGAAGGGCAAGGCCCGACACAAGCCCTGCTGCCGCCCCACCGAGTACGACGACGACATCTCCTTCCTGGACAACGGCAACAAGTACCACACCATCCGCGAGGTGTCGGCCAGGAAGTGCGGCTGCGTGTGACACCGCCGCCCTGGTGGCGGAGCCGTCCTGCTCCGAGTGGAGCAAGAGGTACTGTAGACAACCCCCCGGACAAGCTGCTCAAACCTTGTGAAAGACTACAAGAGAAACCGAGGACCTCTCTGAGGAGAAGCTGGATTTATTTATGTTTCTTTTTTACTGATCTACTTCTCTCACACCCAGCTCACAGATTTCACCTGTTTTAGACCCCCTTAACACCCACTTTTTCATTCATCCCGGCTGAAACTCTGATTGGCCTGAGAACATCCATTTGTTAGCGCAATGCATTCACATGCAGGTTCGAAATGGTGAAGGGCATTCAAACCGTGCACACTGTGCAATGCTTTAACTTAAAAACGAAAACAACCAAAACCCTATGCAAGTGAAGTTTGTGGGCTGGAAAGGTGGCGAATAAGTGTTTTTACAACTTGTTTCACATAACAGGCGTTCCAGTTTCTGTTAGCATTGCTGAAGATTGAAGCCTTCACATCAATGCATCAACTGTTACAATCTACCTCATTCTCATTGAACAAAACCAAACTTCTATCAGCCAGGCCAAGGGGACACTGAACCCACTTTAGCTGCTCTACAAGCTCCTCAGAGAAAGGAAGTGATACTGACATGGAATCAAAGGGAAAGCTAGCTTCTCCTCCTAATGCCCACTTTAGAGTGCAGAGAGTAAACACAATCACCATGTATGTTGGCCACAGCGTTCTTGACGTTGAAGTTGAAGTGACCTAACAAAGGACAAGCTTCAGCCGACATCCAGCTTGTTGCAAAGCTCCAAGCGTGGTAACTTTCTGAACTCAGATGACTTGTAAATATTATTCATAGAGTGACCATGGAGAAAGACTTTCAGAACATTGTATGTTAAACTTGTAATCTTAATCTTGTGCTTTTGTTTCCTGAAAGCATTTTTGCCAAATTTCACCTTTCCTACTACATGGAGGTTTATCTGTTATAGCCACTGTCCAACCAGTGAGAATCTACAGAGTTTTGCTTCCAAAATGCTTGAATTTAGCATTCCCCCAAAAATGATACGATCAGAAAACACTCAATTACATAAAAGCTCGCACTTGTGGCCTGTACAGCCTATGTTGATGTATGTTGTAGCTCTTCTGTCCAATAAGCTGTTCTCAGCCCTGGTCCAGAAGTATCCCTGTATCTTCTGATTTAATTTCAGTTAAGCTCTTGTTCAGTTAAGCTAACTGACCTCTAGTTGACTACTCAGATGGACGAAGATAGTAATTAACATTAACTGTAATTTTTCACACCCACTTCCTCTTGTGTAGTGGAATATAAGTAACTGGACTTTTGGAGAACACGGAGTTTATTTTTTGCAGGAGTGTTTGATACATTCCCACCTGTGTCTGGGTATCATAAATCAAAAACTGCTGAGACACAATTAAGGCCGTCAGCTCTTAATTAATAAGCAATCTGAGGAGAGAACAAAAGGATATTTGCTGAATGCCTTTGCAACAACACTTCTGCAGCAAAAGATTTTTCGAACCAAAGACTTGTAAGAAACTAACAGACAGAAAACAAAGTGCAGAAACAGGTTTGGGTCTAATTAACCAAAACATTCACTTACAGATGTCAAAACTGATTAGCCCGAGTGATTAAGAGCTCATCTGGAATGAAAGCCACCAGACACAGTGTCCTCCTGAATCAGGGCTGAGTCCTGACATATACAGCTGATGCCCATGGCAGGTAGACCCAAAACTATGAACCACCTCCATCACTTTCTCAAGCACAGCATGAGACCTTTCCTCCAAAGCTTCTTATTCCCCTGAGCAGGCATGTTTTTCATAGCTTCTCAGGAACAGGGACATTCATCTTCACATACTGTACCTACATGCATGATAATGTTTAAAACAAAGACCTGAAAAAAGAGATTTTCCTAATACTCCAAGTTACACCAGTCACAATAATTAGCTCTCTTTCAACATATTTATATTACAGATAAATGCTGTACGTACTCTTACCAGGGTATTTAATACTTACAGTAAATGGGCCATACAGTCATAGATTATGAGTAAGAGACGTTAAATTATACCATCCAGTATCGACTACACCAGTAAGATATCCAAAATATTGTGTGGGTTTATATTTCTGACTCTGTACTTATAGCACAGTATCACACTCTGATAGCTCTTTGATTTAATCTGTCTTGTTTTTGTTCCTTGTAACGGCTATTTGCTTGAGGGCAGAAATCATTGTACTACCTGGTGCTGTCATGTGAGAAGCAATTCTTTCAAATGTTGTGTTACTTTATGCATTGAGAAAACTCTAAACAAAGGTTAATTTCTGGCAAAGCTCCTCGGAACCCATTCCATTAAGTTAGCAGAAAGCCAGACACTTTCATGCAGGTATTTATGTTTAAGGAAAAGCAATAGTGCTGCTTTTCTGGTCTCTTGAGCTGGGATCAACTGGGGCAGTAGTCAGTGACAGACATACCCCCACATGCAATTTTACTGGCAGAATGATACATATGCGTCTGGTGTTTGAAAGATCTAGATAAACAACAAAAGACAAAATGACAAATTCAACTCAAGTTCCTTACATGTAAACCGGGCATTCTTCTATATGAGTGAATCTGTAACATTTTTACTATAGTACAATCTCACCTATGTTTGCCACACTCTATTTAGAGCAATTAAAACTGCCACTTGTAATAGATGTGCACAACTTAAACCATTAGTTAACAGATGACAAAACTGCATGCTTGCAAACTATGTATTTATAACCTTTTGGGCTGCTACCAATCTTGGAAGACATTATGTCCCTGAAGATGTAAATGGCCAATTACCTTTACCATATGTCCATATTCATAAAATAATGCTGAGGCACAATAGCACCAATTTCTCACTCTGACAGGGAACTACAGCCAATTAAAGCTGCCCAGGGTCGTCATGTACTTCAATTAAATAAGCAAACATGACTGATGAAATTAACCTTGTTCAAAAAAGGTCACATTGTATAATTCTGAAAATGTTTTTGAAAACTGAATGTCCACAAAAATGTTATTGCCACTCTGTCTCTATCTCTTTGTCCCAACTTGTTCCTTTTAACCCTGCTAGATACACCTCTCTGATACCACTACTGATTGTATAACTGACTTCACAAGTTTTACAGTCTCAAACCACAGTGATCTAAAGCTTATGGTACTCTCTGCAGCAACCAAATACCTAAATATATACCTTTAAAAATGCAGTTACAGTATGCATCTGATTAGCCAACATCAATCAGTTTGTATCTCACTCACACCAACCTTAAAATTTGAATTGAGATTACATGAAAATGTTTCTGAAATTGTTTGTTGCTTTAAAAATTATAGGCGACAGTTCTTCAAGTGTACTACGATAAGCATATTTTTTTACTTTACTGTGTCAGTACATGCCCCTTCTATTGGTCACAGAACATGGGAAAAATCCTTAACCTCAAGCTTTGAAAATAGATTGCAAACATCTGCCCTACTGTTGTGAGAAAATACATTCATATATTAATGAACCAACAATAAAAGGATACTCTCACACTGGTGTTCAGTGATGGGAACAAAACCTGACACTCTTCCCAGGCACATATCGTTTTTAACCCAGTCCCTTCCTTGGAATGATGACAAACACAGTCCTTCCAAAAAACGCACAATCCAACCCTCCCTGGACATCTGAGGCTGTTCTTGCATGGTAAACAACGTTAACAAGTTTAGTCAAGCCTGGTATGATAAACTTGCACTCTTCTCATCTGGACCCACAATTTGTAGCCCATTACCTATACTGGTGCACTTGGGAGACCATGTTGTACAGCAGAGATACTGTGGCTTTCATTCCATATAAGTCTCAAAATGTATTGATGTAAGTTTTTATGTAGTTGCATACGTTGTTTTCCACCCGTCAAGTTCACTGGCAACAGATAAAGACATCAGACAGCAGGGCAGAGCTGTCAGAGAGCCCCCAGTGCAGGATGAGCCAACGTCCTCTAGATGCAACTGCAACTCCTAAGACTTGGCTGTGTCCGCAGGCTTGCAGTGACATCAGAGTGATCGGCCTCGACCCAGATCTCTATCTGGTGCTCCTTCTCCTGTCAGGCACTGTGGAGCTCCCAAAGTATCCCGTAAAAACCATGCTACAGAGTCCCCTTCTCTCCAAACAAGTACAGGATCTATTGCAGGAAAGCCAAAAAATCATAGTCTGACTCCATAGAAAAGTAACTAATCAGGTCAGTCGATTAAAGGAACCGACTCATGAAGCCACTAAGAGCTCTGCCAGTAATTGAGGCACCCGACCTAAAGCCTATGTAGTAAAAAATATCAAAAGATAGCAGTTCATGTTAACAGTACGTACCAGTTAACGGTCCTGTATAAACTGGCTAATAAGTGAACTTGTATCTGAAAGCTATATGACACATGTAATGTATGTGAAGCATATATTGAAATATACCTGTGTTAGTTCCAAGCTTGTGTAAACGTTAAATGTACAGATTTCTGCATGTAATACATACTGTACTGCTAAGACATCAGGCCACATTTATAGCACTGAATCTTGGGTGACACTTTAGTTGAAGCATCTCATTCAAGGCATGCACCAATTTTATCTGAAGTGATGCAGAGCACCTACATAGTAATACACTATAAATACTTCGTTTGCAATATTTCAAGCTGGAAACACTAAAGGGTCAAGGGTCCCTTAGTCATATTGAATTGTGCATTTAAACTTTAAAACAATTATCAAAACTAAAACTCAAAAAGGGCGAGGTAATACTGGGCACTGCAGTATTTTGGGAGTGTTCTGCAGTAATCCTAAACATGACAAGTTTTCATTTCCAGTACAGCTTAACAGAAAAGGTGGTGTTGTATTTATATCACTTGGGTGTCAGTATGTTTCATGAGCACCTAACAGTGGATCTTTACTTAAAGTGTTACCTCAGCATTTTCCCTGTCAAGACGTCGCTCTTCATTACTTGCTGTCTCTTGAGCATTTGTGATAAACAAGATGAAAAAGTAACACACAGTAAACTTCAGTTCTGGCATTGTTGGACTCTCTGGACCAACTGCAGTAAGTTGATGCAATGCATCTGTATTATGGATAATCTATATTTATTGGAAGTAAGTTATGTTTTATTTATTTAGATATCATCATTGATAAAGAAGAACACTTTTATTTATTGAACTATTGGTGCCAAAGTGGAGTTTACATGTATTATATTCTACACCCTATACTGACTGTTGAATAAACTTTACAAGCTTAAAAAAAAACTAAAACTGTCTGGTTTTTAAACGTGGTACACTGAGTGGTGCCAATGCATGGCCCTACTGCTGCCTCTAGTGGGAATAAAAATTTACCCAACACAATTTTGAGTAAAATCCTCATTTAAGGTAAGATACACAGCTTAGGAACAAGCACACAGTAAAAACCTGAAGCAGTCGAAATTCTAGCCTTTGACTGCACAGTCTCATTCCCCCATTCTGAGAACAAGGCACTGTGACTGGACAGGGCTACAGAACAACTTCTAAAATCATAACTATATGAACAAGCAATCTCCACATTTTTTCAGAATGTCCTCGGTATGTGTTTCCAATGTATAGATTAGGCCAAGGTTATGCTTTGATCTATTAAAAAGAGAAGCCACAAAACGGAATAAAAAATGTCACACGACATCTCATTTAAAGGAAATCATTTGTTAATGTTTGGACATGGTTTCGTTTGTCATATTTTACCTTCGCACATAAAACCTCCCAAGCATGACACATTTAAATGGTATTAATGGTTGCCCAGCTGACACTGTTTGCTCTAGCTGAAATATGCAGATCATCTTTTACACAATACTGGCATCAGTCATTATTCTGTTTTTCTTCTATATATTTTAAATTATCTGGTTTTCTGTAGTAGGTGCAGGTATGAAATGAACTATATCTGTACAGAACAAGGCACCTGAGAGTTTACTTAATTACCCAGCTGCAGAATCGGTGTCAGTCACCAGATGTTCCTATCAGCTCTGCTGGAGAACAGAAAGGCCTCACTACCTCACTAGAATTTGGAATAGCAGACTGGCAGGGATTAGGGCATTTCCCCTACTGGAAAAGCCAGGCTTATGTCTCTGATTTTTATTTCTTACCCTGCTGTTTTGTTTAAAAATCCATCTAAGGAGTTCAAAGAATATCTCCTGGCAAAAACCTGGAGGAGGGGAAACAGTATTTTATTAAGCACTCAAGAAAGCTGGCAAAGGTACTTGTATAATCACAGTTTTAAAAAAAGAACAAATTATTCCAGTGGAGAAAAAGATACTACCGCAAAGCTTGATTTAATTAAGGGAAAGCAAAATAGACACAACATCACCAATACGTTAATGATGAAATCCAATCACCCACACATCTGGTTTCAAGCAGGCAGGGAGAATGCATGCCAGTCACTGGGGTATAACTGCCCCAGTGCTAGCACACTGGGTTTGGAGTGGCACGTCGTTTCAGGATTCTGTTCGCTGTGCATCAGCTAAAAGCCACACCTGTGGTTGAATCAATTGCCCGCACTGGCAGTTCGGCTGATACTGGCATCCCAGCCAAACCGCAGAATGGGCAGATACAGGCTGATCATTTCCATGGTGGCTGGGCATGTTTAGCTTCCAGGACCAAGCACTCCTTGGGTTACTCCTTGAGTAGCTCAGTCATAACAAGGCAGGACTGCTAAACCAAGAACATAGAAGCTTTATGTCAGAAATTGCCTGTAACACTTGGATTTTGCTTTATTTTGTTGTTTTTGTTCTCATTTGAAAATCAACAGCAATAATCCCTTTCAAGAAATCTGAAGTGCAAACAGCTCGCTAACGAGGACACGCTTTTAATGTGCCTGTATCTTTTAATTTCCACAAAATGGCTCACTGGTGCTGTGGATCAATCCACCCAGAATTTGAAGAAATCAAGGATCTATGGAAATCTTTGTAGACAGTGACACGCTTCTGTCAGCACTTACTAAAAACAAGATCATTCAGCACTGAACACAATCCAGTGCATTAAAGTTTTCATTAACACACACTTTCATCCTCAAATACAATCGCATTTAAATCTAGTAGTATTTCTCGTTTGCTATTTCTTCATGCGTAAACTGATTTAATGGGCTATGATGAGAGCTTTTGGATTTTATAACAGACTTTTCACTGAATAATTAAAAAACATATTCATGCGATACTAAAAGACGTTTTACCTCGCTTTCAAAAGTCCCCTGTTCACTTCTGTCTCAACATCTCTTTCGCCCTGCTTGACATGAGTGAAGGGCGCTAAATGCTATTTCATCTACCAGCTTTTTATTCCTTTTGTTTTCTTTTAATGTGCCAGCAGGACACAGCAGACTTGTCAATTCACCAGGAAGGCGCTGTTTGTGCCTGCTTTCTGCTCGCCAGCCTTTAACTCCTCGTATCAATCACTCTTCTGTGTTTATCAGGACTGTGGTTCTGTTTGCTTTTCTGTGGGGCAAGTTTACTCACCAGCGGATATCTGTCAACTTTGTCACATCTGCTGTCTGCCGAAAGCGCAGCTGGAAGGAATTGTTCACAAATCACACGCTACATCTATAAACATATGGTACTTAATATACCAAGAGACCAGACAGCAGCAGAAGAAATCAGCACTGACAGCTGCACAACAGGTCTTCATCTCTTCCTGTATGAGGAAAGCATGATCTGGAGCATTTTTACTGATTTGTTTACTGATAGCTATGTGCTTCTACTGTGATCAAATAATAACTTTTCATTGGTGTGCATTTCCCCCTGTTTTCCATGGGCCATTGATGTCACACCAGAAGTTTGAATTATAGCAACAAATTATAAAAGAGAAAAGCAGTGCCACAATCACTGTTTAACCATGTGTATCCATACCCATATATTGTCTTTAAATTACAACTCCAGTTCCTGAAATAGATGTGACATTAAAGTTACAGACTTGACAGAAAAAAACTATGACTAATGCTGACTACCTGTCTTTGCCCCACTCGCTAAGTGGTCCTTTAATAAAATAGAGAATTCACACAAAAAGTTTAGTTGTTTCACCAAAAATACCAATGCAGAGCTACAACTAAACTCATTGTCTTGCCACTGTTTTTATGTTATGATATAACTGTTTAAATAATCTGTATAGTCATGAAGTTGATCAAGTACAAATAAAACAACACTCAGAAACCGGGTTAAAGAAGCTGTTGCATATCTCATACATAAATTAATATACAGGCAGCAAAACACAAAATATATGCTCATTTCCTTTCATTCCAATAAAGTACTGCTTTCAAATGTACTCTGTGAGGCTTCGAATAGTTCAAATTCACTGCTGTTTTATATCTGCCAAGGCCCCTTCTCAGTTAGGCACAAGTAAAACGTTTATTCCATGCTAAAAACAAGAGACACAACGTTTCGGCTATGGAGCTTTCTTCAGGTTAGTGTGTATCTTTTCTTTTCAGCATGGAATAACCCTTCACTTGTTACTTTGCAGTCTATGCATGCTGGTGCAGCTCCCTACAGTACTGCAGAGTTTGCTGCTCAAATGCGGGTTATTTCACTATTCTCAGGAATTTTGCATCAGCCATTGACTAGAAAGGGCATCATGGTGCAGGGCCTGTCTAAGGAAGTGCAAGTTACTTAAAACAACAAACATAAATTGGCATGAAAAAAAAATCGAAATTTACAAACCTAACTGTCTTACTCCGGCTTCCACCTCTTTTAATGATGCTAGCTTTCTTTCACAGTGAGGAGCACGACATGGTTCAAACATGCCTCAAGCTGGGCAGCGGTATGCTTCAGCAAAAGCATTCACTGCATCATTTTGGGCTGCGTTCAAATAATTTCCTCCTGCTGAAGAGCAATCATCGCATCCATCATTCCCGGAAACAGGATCATTTCACGTACTCTTTTTTTTGAACAGCGTGTAAAGTTCCAGGGATGTGTATGCTTGGCAGACAAGGTATAAGCAGTAAGATCTTTAAATAACCTCTGTAAAAACATAATAGCATTCAGTTTCCTACCAATAAATCAGCTAAGAGCTTAATAATACTGACCTGCACACGAAGGAGATTAAGGCCAATTACAAACAGTGAAAATATGTGGAAGTTAAAAATTCCATCCTGCATCCTAAAAGAATGAGGTATTCCAATCAGAAGTACTGCAAACCCCTTCTTATTGCCGACTGCAGGAAGATGAAACAAAATATTGATTGACGTAAAGACTACACAAGCTTGTTGCTTGATGCCAACTCGTACAGGAGGAGACAAAATAAACAGTGAGAAAAGTATCATTTACGTGGATTAAAGGCTGTTTATCATATCAGGTGCTGCTTTACTTTCACCGCAGGGATGAGAATTTGTAAGCGATATGTCTCAGTGATGTAATATGCCTTCGGAATTAGCTGCAATTATCTAATGATCCAAGCAATTCACTGAGCTACTGCTAAACATTTCAGGGAAGCGGGCTGTAGTCTTGCCACAAGTTGAGATCAGTTGCAAAAATATGATCCTACGTCTGTCTTTCCATACAAAGTATTATATTCACTCTATTCCTTAAATTTCTATGTTGTCACCCAATGAGTGAGAAGGAAGGCAGAGAAAGAAATACTATATCCAACAATCGCCAAACACATTGGTAACCCACCTGATGATCCTAATCAGTGAAAGATTTGTCTCTGGAGATTGTACATGAACAATAAGATGGTTATACTTTCAGCTTTCGAGCCTCTCTTGACAAATACTGTCCATCACAAAAAAGCCTTCCCAATAAAATTTAGTCAGAAATCTATTTGCAGGCTCTTGTAGACCAATGTGTTTGAAATATTTCTAAACAATGGTTTTCTAAAGAACAGCATGAAGAAAACAAAAAAAAAAAACAGAATGAAGGAAGACTGATTTTTCTGTTCAGAAGAGAAGCTCTTTGCAAGACTGGGAACATTTAACCAAATCTGTAATTTCAGCTGTTTTTTTAAATTAATGTTTTTAGGAAACAGGCATAATGCAATTTGAAACTACTTTGTGTGTTTTGTATTTCCATTTAATTTTTATTATATTAAAATACTTGGATTTTTTTTTTCTGAAGACAAACTGCAAATAGATGTCTAACACCATATTCAACGTGTTTTCACATACACTAATGGAGTACAGTATGTGAAACTTTACATTTCTGAAATGTTATCTTTCTTGAAATAGAAAGACAGAAAAGGTTTAGGAATGTTCATTTGTACTTGTACATGTATACATCCA